GCTAGCCTTTGAGCACAGCTTCTCTTTCTTCTCTCTCCTTCTTGTAGGAAATCAATGGTGGCCGTCAGTGGGCCCTTGGTCTCATGGGCCTTGTGGGCTCTGAGGACCTGGGGGGTTGGGAGGAGGATGCTATTTAGTTTACCAGCAAAGTGCTCTGGAAACTGGTGTCTGGGCAGGAGGTCTGATTTGGAGAGCTTGCTGATTACTGTATTTTAAATACGCTTGCCATGGCCATTCAATAGGAGGTCACCCAGTACATAGCAGGATGAGGTGAATACAGTGCCCCTCCCTCACAAGCTGGTTCAAGCAGGCTCCGGAAGGACATGAGAACACTCAGGTCTGTGGTGAGCTGGCTAGGCAAGGCTGGGAACATTCCTATGGGGATTTCTGACTCAGCAGGGGATGCAGAAGGGACCAGAGGAGAATTAACAAGAGCTGGGTGTCTCCTGTCTATGCTGGGAGCTAGGTGACTTGTAGACATTATCTCATTTGATCTTGGTAATGACATTGTGAGTCAGCTAACCACACACACACACACACACACACACACACACACACACACACACACTGTTTTCATGAGGAGACAGGGCCACTGAGCAGTTAAGTGACAAAGAGCATGTCCAAGGTGACACAGAAGTGTGTGAACGGACAGGGACTCTGGGGACCGAAGGCACTGGAGAGTAATGCTGGTAAAAAAGTTATAGGTAATTCTCTGTGGGTGAATCCATTGTAACTTTAGCAGCTCCCCACACCCAACTCTGACATAAAAAATCAAGGCTTTAAAACCTGGGAGGAGCCTTTTATTTAGCTCAGCCCCTCATTAAACAGTGAGGTAAGTGAGCCAGAAGAGTTGAAGTGTAGCAGAAGCATGTATGTGTGTGGATGCCAGAGGACAACTTTGAACTCAGGTTGTCAGGCTTGTGTAGAAAGCACCTGTACCCATTGAATCACCTCGATGGCCCACACGTCCTGCTTTTTTCCTGGGGGGTTCTGGGGCTCAAACTCCAGGCCTTGTGCTTGAAAAGCCTGGGCTTTACCCCCAGCCCCAGAACCCTGATAATGGTTTTGAGACAAGAGTTTGAGGGGCCCAAACTGTCCTCAGAACTCATGAGTTTTCTTCAGTTTCCTAAGAGAGCTAGATTTACAGGCAAGCTCCATCATTCTTGGCTATTAAATTGGTGTTTGGTTTTGTGGTGTTGGAAGTCTGAATCCAGGACCTTATTATACATGCTAGCTAAGCACACATCACAGAACTGTGCCCCTTATCCCTAATCAGCAACACCTGCAATAATGCAGCCAGTCATCTCCAGACCCTCAGCCACCTCGAATGGGACCACAAGCCTAAGAATCTGCTTGTTAGGTGTTTAACCATAAATAAACCCATCTCCAGAAGTTGTTCTCAGATGTTTGCTTTTGCCCCTACTTCCTTGGAACTTGATGTGTAGACCAGATCTGCCTGCCTTTGTCTTGGAAATTGTGGTTTTAAAAGCAAATGCCACCCATGGCTGCTGGTGACATTTTTGAAAAGCTGTTATTGTCCGTTGGAGAAGTGTCTAACAAACAAGGTCAGTTATGTGACATTGACTTCCACTTTACCTCTTTGAAGCTGTGAAGCAGCCCTGAGTCACAGCTCTGAGTATGCTGGCTTAGGCACTGCATTTTTTCAGTTTTGGTCTTGTTGTTTTTAAACAGATTTGCCACAGTAACAAAAAGGCCGATGAAAATTGTTACACTTTGGCTCTTAGAGCTTAGAAGAACATTGTCTATTCAGGAACTCCTGACTGTATGTGTTGGTGGAGGAGGAGGTTTACAGTTTAATCTACTCATGAGGTCCATCTTGTTTGGGAAGAAGAATGGTTTGTTTACACTCTTGATTTCCTGACACAATCCCACTGGTACTGGATGTCAAAGGTGAGGCTCTCCTGTGAGGTTCCAAGGCATCTGTAAGGAGAGAGGTTTTGCCAGGACTGTTGGAAACAAAGACAAACTGAACATTATTGGATTGAACTCTATGTACCAACATCTGCTGAACACTTTACATAACTTACTGTTCCAGGGTTTATTGGTCTTAAAAATAGGTTATTTACTGCTCTTGTTTGTTGACAAGGAGACTCAGAAAAGCTGAGTTGCCATAGTCCTGAACCTGATGAAACAAAGTAGTAGATCTACAGGCTACTCCTTTTTAATAACTTACTACCCAGCAGTAAGTACTTCTGTCCACACTTGTCTTCCTCTGGCAGGCTCTTAAATGTGAGATTGATCCCAAGTTACCCAAGATTTACAAGGATTCTTTCTCAAAATCATGTGACAATTAAAAGCTTGGAAGTTCTCTTTCTTGAGGGTATGCTTTTTAGGGATTTAAAATCCCAAACTCAACAGCCATAGACTCCTGCCTGCCCGATAACCACGTGGGAGCCTCTTGGGCTTTTTGCTGAGTCAGGATAGCAGAGAGCTGGTGTTCACATGGAGAAATTAGGCAAAAAGATGTGGTTGAGAGAAAATGCAATAAGGAGAGAGTCCCTTTGGAATGGAAGTCAGATTTTGAAGCTAGCCAGCCAAGGACTTCAGTTTTGCTGTAGAAATTAAAACCATTAGTAACTTATTTCTAAAATGACAAAGCACTGTGTAATCAAGGGTGACTCTGGCTAAAGGTCATAGTTTTTAGACACAAAGGAAAGTTATTTGAGGTTAACATTTTTCAAGCCAAGCATGATATTGCATACCTGTAATCCCAGTACTTGTGAATTAGAGGAGGCAGGATCAGAAGTTCAAGGCTAGCCTGGGCTATATGAGACCCTGATTCCTCCCCCAAAAAAGTGACAGAAGAATGAAATAAGTTACATTTTATTTATTTGTGTGTGTGTATGCCCACCTGTGCCACAGCTGCACAAATTGAGGTCATAGGCCATCTATACAAGTGAGTTCTCTTGCCACATGTGGGTACATGAAGACTAAACTCAGGTCACCAAGCTTGACAACAAGTGCCCTTACTGGCTGATGCATCTGCTGACCCCAGAAGTGAATGTTTTTATAGAAGGAAAGTGTAATGCATGTGACTTCAATTCAGCCTGGGAGTGTGGTGGTATCACTGTCACAGAGTTGGCTATCCAGTCAGAAGTGTGTGGCATGAACCTCCTACCACTGCTTCTTTGTTTCACATATTTGAAGCTAGAAACTTGGTAGCATTAATGTTTAAGGAAGGAGGAGCTGAACAGAGGTATCCCTTGGCCTCCTTCACAGTAAGTGTCTTGTATACAGTCCTGCATATCAAGTGGAAGAGAAAACTAACCCGAGGTGGGAAGTTTTCATAGTTACACAGGTTTGGATTCTTGTCCCAGCTTTTGTTTTACCCACATAATACTGGTTTGTATAGTGCTGGCTGACCCAGATCTTTAACTGTACATTGGGAATAACCCAATATTGAGGTAATGTATGTATAAGGTGCTTCAAAGACGCTGGCTAATGCTAAATGTTGAAAACAGTGTTGGTCACTGCAGATTCAGTGCAACTGAATTTTTATGGTTAGGATAGCTGTCAATTTATTGCCTTTCTCTCTGAATCACTTCTGCTGATGAATGCCCTGTTTGTTTTATAGTCAGCCTAAGCTCTCTAGCCTTTTTTCTTGATTCTAATCCCTTTTATTGACTTTGCCATATCTGTCTGGTCTACCTTTCATGTCAGGGAATGTTGGGATTATGAAGCCTTAAGGCTGTAGATTCATTAGTCAGACTCTTAGGATCTACCCAAGCTGAAATGCATCCTTAGTGGGAGGTTGTTGGAAGTAGGTAATGATTCTAATCATACTTGATGATAACCCATGGATTAAATTTCACTGTTGTCTTCATTTCTTTTGTCAGTAGCTTTTAGGTCCGGCAGCACTGCAGAAATGGCAGAGTTTGGGATCTCTCCTGGCCAGCTTGTGGCAGTGTTCTGGGACAAGTCATCTCCTGAGGAGGCCCTAAAAAAACTGGTAGATAGTCTTCAAGGGTTAACTGGCAGTGAGGGCCAAATATTCACGGAAAACATCAGCCAACTGTTGCAGTGTAAGTGCCTACCTACCATTCTCTTCTCAGGGTGAGAAGAGTTTTCCATGGAGGTGCTGTTTGTCTGTAGTTCCTGATACTTGAGTTTTGTTTGGGGCCACCACATTTTCTTCACACACTTGGTCATGTTGTTGTTAATTTCTGCATGTTCTTTTCTTTGGTGGCTATTCCTTTTTCTAAAAGGGTCCTTTTTTACTTTGTTTCCAGTCTTACTAAGGTTAGTGAGATACGGAACAGAGCAGAATCTTAACACCCTTTTGCTAGTATCGGGAGCTTCATATTTGCTATGTAGGCTCATCCCCTGGGGTAATACTGTATCCTCTGTGGGAGGTCTGTGGGAAGGTTGGGAGATGATCCCTGGGTAAACAATTGTTGATTATTCCTTTCAGCTGCCCATAAAGAATCCAGCTTCGATGTTATTCTGTCGGGTGTAGTCCCAGGAAGCGCCTCTCTGCACAATGCTGAGGTTCTGGCTGAGATGGCCAGAATCCTTCGGCCAGGGGGATGTCTTTTTCTGAAGGAACCAGTGGAGACAGCTGTAGGTAAGTAAGGATATCTTTGCTCAGAAGATGAACATTTTACATAGCTGAGTCTTTGCACGTGCATGCTGTCTCTCCTGAGCCAGAAGTACCACTTGGAGATTAGTATTCCTGTGTAGTACCTTTTCAGGGATAGTTATTACCCCAAGATCTTACTCTGTGGCTAAGTGGAATTCACTATGTAGTCCAGGTTGGCCTTGAACTCTTGTTAGTCCTTCTGTCTGCATATGAACATGAGTACAGGAGACCAGAGGTATTGGACCCTCTGGAGCTAGAGTTAAGGTTGTTGTGAGCCTTGCAGTGTGAGTCTGGAAACCAAATTCCCATCCTCTGCAAGAGCAGTATGTGCTTGGAACCACTGAACCATCTCTCCAGCCTTTTTTTTTTTTTTTTTTCTTTCTTTTTTTTCCCCAGTTTTTCAAGACAGGGTTTTTCTGTAGCTTTGGAGCCTATCCTGGAATTTGTTGTGTAGATCAGGCTGGCCTCAAACTCACAGAGATCTGCCCTCCAGCCCCTTGCTGGAAATTTAAACCTTAGGTCACTGAATGCTGTCTATGATAGAGCTTTACAGAGACAAACAGGTTTCTATGTACTTCACAGTTTATAACTTTATTAATTACCCAACATTCTCTGGGTTTCCGAGAAGCAGAATAATACATAATAATGTAATTATGACCTGTACTAGCCTAAGAAAGAATGGTTAAGATGCTGTCACTAGCTGGGCAGTGGTGGTGCACGCCTTTAGTCCCAGCACTCAGGAGGCAGAGGCAGGCGGATCTCTGTGAGGTCAAGGGCAGCCTGGTCTACAAGAGCTAGTTCCAGGACAGTCTCCAAAGCCACAGAGAAACCCTGTCTTGAAAAACCAAAAAAAAAAAAAAAAAAAAAGATGTTGTCACTAAACTATATATGCTCATTAAACAAAGTAAGTTTTTACTGTTTGAGAGCCTGCTAACTCACATAGGAGTGAGCCTTTATAGTTTTCCCCAGCTTTACCATATGAAGCCACTAATTGGAGAGTTTTCCTTCACAGTTAATGATGACAAAATGAAGACGGCCTCTAAACTGTGTTCGGCCCTGACTCTTTCTGGCCTTGTGGAAGTAAAAGAGGTAGGTTCGTAGAGATAGCCTTCCTTGTTAGGTATGTAAACCTTGGGTGACTCAAACCCAGAGAGTATGTCTGTGTAGCTGGGGGTAAGTGAGGTTAGAGGTGCTCTACAGAATTAGGAAGCAATTTGAAACTTGCTGTTCAAGAGATAAATACAAGATGCCGTAAAGAAGAAACCCTTGGGAGCAGATCCCTTCTGAAGACTGAGTAGCTGATACTGGTCTTCCTGTGATGGCTGTACTGCAGGAGACAGGAAGTTTCTGCTTTGTCCATCTCAGTGTACACAACTCTTGGGCCTAGATGGAATACTGTCCCTTAGTCCTTTTGGTGGGAGTCTAGACTAAGGATGGGGGCTATGTATTTATAAGTAGAGATGTTCAATTAAGCAGAGGCATTTATAGTTCCATATTCTCCAGAAACAAAATTTAAAAATATTAGCATTTTCTTGTTTTTGGAGAGGTGTTATTCCATGATAACTGTATTGTTATATTTCTGATTTTTTTTTTTTTTTAATGTGATTCAAGACCTTAAATTCTTTTTTGAGACAGAGACTCTGTTGGATGTTGTCCAGGCTGGCCACAGGCTGGCTTGGTGAAACAGTGAATGGGGAAGTGTGGACTGATGCGCTGGATATCTTCAATTGCAGTTGCAGCGGGAGTCCTTAAGCCCCGAGGAGGTGCAATCTGTCCAGGAACACCTGGGCTACCACAGTGACAGCCTGCTCTCAGTTCGTATCACCGGCAAGAAGCCTAACTTTGAAGTGGGCTCTTCCAGCCAACTTAAGATTTTCAGCAACAAGAAGTCTTCAGGTAAGACTAGCCTAGGGACATTCTATGTGGGTGGGCCTGAGGAGCATGTTAGAAATTGAACCATGGGGGCTGGAGAGATAGCTCATTGGTTAAGAGCACTGGCTGCTCTTCCAGAGGACCTGGGTTCTATTCCCAGCAACCACATGGCAGCTCACAACTGTCTGTAGCTCCAGTTCCAGGGAATCTAGTATCCTTACACCAATGCACATAAAATAAAGTTAAATAAAGTATTTTTTTTTTAAAAAGAAATTGAACCATGATCTAAATATTCTTAAACTAGTCCCTTAATTTCTGTCATTTGCAAATTGCAGAGTGCTTACATATTAGTATCCAAACCTGAAACAATATGTAGATATTTCCTAGTGCACTGAGGTTTTGGATGCCTGAGTCACTTGTTTAGTTGATGAAGTCTCTTCAGGCCCTGAGAGGATGGGTTTATCCTCAGAAGACCTTTCAATGGTGGTAATGGTGCACAGGTTCCCTTGTTCAGTTTCCAGAGGGTAGGGGTGGGTTGGTGGGTCTGTCTGTCTGTCTGTCTATCTTCTCCCTCTCCCCTTCCCGCCTTCCCTCTTTCCCTCTCTCTCTCCCACTCTCTCTCCTCTCCTTTTTTTGAGATAGGGTTTCTCTGTGTAGCCCTGGCTGCCCAGGAACTTACTTTGTAGACCAGGCTGGGCTTGAAGTCACTCAAAGAGATCTGCCCACCTCTGCCTCCCGAGTGCTAGGATTAAAGGCATGTGCCACCCCTGCCAGGCTCTATGCTTATAAAGTCACAAAACTTATTTCTAATGATTGCTTGCTAGTTTGATTTGTGCATGTTTTGTATATTTCAGAATTTTAAAAATGTAATTAGTGTTTAATTTTTTATATGTGCTATGGCCATTTTAGCATACCTTTTTAAATTAACATTTTCATACACAACTTATTGATACAGAAAAGTGGTTTTTGTCATGACACTTTCATAAGCATCATTGTACCTTGCTGCTACAATCCGCTGCAGATGCTATTTTAATGTTTCTGTCAAAGCTGTAATTACAGCTTTGTTGGATTGATTTTGATGGACATCCTCCAGAATACGTCCTGTTGAAATGCTTAAAAACAAAACCTGTGTTTCTTCTGCTCAAAAAATTGTGTGCATGTTTGTGTGCACGCACACGTTACTCATCTCTCATCCTTCCTATTAAAGTTTTCTCTTGTCCCAATTGTTTCTTGGCTGTGAGGAATGCATAGATTCAACGGATGTTTGCTGGCATATCTATACTGCATTCTTTTGCTGTCTAGCCTCAGTCTTTTTCTTCTGATTTCTCAAGACAGGGTTTCTCTGTTTAGTCCTGGCTGTCCTGGAACTAATTCTATAGACCAGTCTGGCCTCGAACTCACAGAGATCCTCCTTCCTCTGCCTCTCAGGTGCTGGGATTAAAGGTGTGTGCCACCACTACCACCTGGCTAGCCTCAATCTTGAAGTACTTTGACTTCAATTTCTGGTCCTCACTTCTCTGCCCTCTGAGTGGCAGTAATTAGAAGCCCATGTTCTCAACCCTGGCCTCAGAAAATACTTGGACCTTGGTTTTCACAGTTCCTGGAGGGTTGGGACAGCTTAGATCAGCAGTTGACCTTGTGGACATTCTGAGCATCAGCTGTGGCAGTGATGATCCTGGTTGTGAGCTTACCTAAAAGGCCTTACTGAGGATTTGCCCCTCTAAATCCCCAGCCCTGAGGCTCATAGATTTCTTTCTGGTGTCCTGACCCAGATGGAAAATGTTCTGTCACTGACTTACCTGGCCACCAACAGCATTGGAGTCTGTTTTCTTACATTACAGGCTTAAGTGAGGCTAAATCTTTGTTGTTTTTTTTGAAGTTGTTGTTACTTCTCTCATTTAATTCTTAAAATACCTGCAGTAGGCAGAGGGAGTGCTATAACCCATGTTACAGAGGTGTAAACTCAGGTAGCAAGGAAAAGGCGGCAAGGAATGGAGGTTGTAGCCTCATATACCCACAGCTATAAAACTAGAATGGCAGGCACCTCACAGGGTTCTTAGCAGGGCTAGGTGAGATGATGGAAGCGCTGGTGGAGGCCTAGCACAAAGCAAACATGTGATGCATGCAGACTATTTTACTGTGTGGAGCTATGCCTTTTGTTCATAGTGGAGCTGAGTGTTGAGCCTACCCTCTCAGTCTGTCCAGTCATTCTCTTCTAGTCTCCACACTTGCTGGGACTTGCTTGTGGTTTGCTTCCGACTGCTTAAAGAGTTCTTTTTCTTTTATGGTTGGACTCAGTGAAGCCTGTTGTGGATCCTGCTGCTGCCAAGCTCTGGACCCTCTCAGCCAATGACATGGAGGATGACAGCATGGTGAGTTGGCTGTGTAGTCACTTGACTGTTCCTCTCAGACCTAGAATTAAGTGTAAACAGCTATAGTGAGAAATGGCCTTAAAGTTTTTGTTTTGTTTTGTTTTGTTTAATTTTATGTGTATGAGTGTCTGTCTGTTTGTGCTCTATATGCATGTCTGGTGCCTTCGGAGCCCAGAAGAGGGTGTTGGATCCCTAGGAACTGGAGTCTAGTTGCAGGTAGTTATCAGCAGCTGAGTGGGTACTAGAAACCAATCCCATATCCTCTGCAAGAGCAGAAAGTACTTTTAACACTGAGCCATGTCTCCAGCTCCCTGACAGTGGCCTTTTAGGTTTGTAGGTGTGAGTGAGTTTAAGGCCCAGCATGTAGCAGTGCCTGACTTTGGTGTCTTTTATTAGGACATTCCATATTAGTAGCATTTTGCATTTTTTAAAAAGTATCTTTCTTCCCCTCTACAGATTTTCTTGTCTTCCCCTTACATGAAATAGTAGATTCTTGTAGACATAAACCAGAAAAGAATTTGTCAGCTGAGATAAGGCCTCTGTCTAGGCACTTGAATGTTCACTGAATGAAATTCAGTGCAAGTCATTGAATGCTCACTGTCTTAAACTCAGTGTTTGCACCTTTGATCTGCTATATCTATAAGAAAATTAAACTGGGCTGTGGCAAACACCTTTAGTTGTAGCACTCAGGAGTCAGAAGCAGAGTCACTTGCTCTCAGAATTTATAGGTATAGCTGCTTTCACATTTGCCAAAAAGTTCAAATATATGTATACTTATTTTATATTTATAATTATTTACTTTTATTCCTCTAGAATTTTATGGAAAATATTTTACTTCCTTTGACTTTATTCCCATGATTATTCACATGTTGAAATAAATACAGCACTTTTCTTCATTTCACGTGCTGCCACCCTCACCATGAACACACATGAGCACACACACGCACAGAGTCTTCCATGGACCATTGCTCTCTTCAGCCTATGGCAGAGTTGCACAGCGGGTGTAGCTTTGCCATTGCCTTGTGTATGCATGCTCTTAACCTGTGATTACTTCATCAAAAACCATGGCTGTGGTGTTAATTGTTTTGATCACTCTCCAGGATCTCATTGACTCAGATGAACTGCTAGATCCAGAAGATTTGAAGAAGCCCGATCCAGCCTCCCTGAAGGCTCCTTCATGTGGGGAAGGGAAAAAGAGGAAGGCCTGTAAGAACTGGTGAGTGCTGAGGGAGCAGGTCTGGACTGCAGCTTCTTCTCCAGACTCATCTCTGTATCTCCTCCCCCACCCCCACCCACACTGGTGAGAATGGTTTTTTCTGTGAGGTGTATAGATCGGTAAACCAAACAAGTAAACCTTAAAGAAAATGGCCAGGCATTGGTGGTGCACGCCTTTAATCCCAGCACTTGGGAGGTAGAGGCAGAGGCAGGCGGATCTCTGTGAGTTCAAGGCCAGCCTGGTCTCCAGAGATAGGCTCCAAAGCTACACGGAGAAACCCTGTCTTGAAAAACCAAAAAAAAAAAAAAAAAAAAAAAGACCCACATACCATGGTCTAAAGTAAGAAATGGAAGTATTGTGGTTGGGTATTCCAGCACTCAGGAGGCAGAAGTAGGCAGTTAACCTGGTTTACTTAGAGTGTTCCAGGACAGCAAGTGTTCCAGGACAGTGAGACCCCCACCTCAGAACAACCAAAGAAAAAAGAAAGGAAATGAAAGTATCATAGTAGTCATAGTTCCGAGGTCAGAAGTCATTTTTCTGTATGGTTTAAGCTCTCAGACAGTCCTGCTATCTTCTGTCTCCGGTGACCCTGATAATAAGCCTGAAGCCAGCTGGCTTTAACTCTTCCCTAAAGCCTTGATCTTTCCCCATTTTGGAAAGAAATCCTTGGGGCCCTTGTTCCTTGGTATCATTTTTTTCCCCTTTGTCCCTTTCTGGGAGATTATCAATTTTCTAAAACTTTTGTTATTACTTTATTCCTCCTATCTTGATTGTAGTTTATAGTTTCCTCTTTGCTAGTCCCCCCCCCATATGTTGGGTACCCTTTTTCAAGTGGATATAAAGAAACTAATACCCTCCCCAGACTTTCTGAGGCAGAGTCTCTATATCCCTGGCTGGCCTGGAGCTCACTGTGTAGACCAGACTGGCCTCTGAACTGACTGAGCTCCTTTTGCTACTGCCTCTCCAGTCCTAGGATTAAAGATATGCCACCATGCCCTACCCTGCTTTTATGTTACTTTTTTTTCTTTGTTTGTTTATTAATTTTATTTTTTGGTTTTTCAAAACAGGGTTTCACTGTGTAGCCTTGGCTGTCCTGGAACTAGCTCTGTAGACTGGCCTCAAACTCAGAGATTGACTTGCCTCTGCTCCCAAGTACTGAGATTAAAGGCATGCACTACCACCAACCGACTGTTTTTTATAGGGAACCAAACCCAAGCACTCTGCAAGAGCAATATGCACTGTTAACTGCTGATTGGTCTCTTCAGCCCTTTTTATCCTTAGTCTGTTTCTTCCAAGCTGCCATTTTCTTTTAGTTGGCCTCTGATTCCTTGGTTAGAGGATTTATTAGGATCCTTGGTGGTCATGGTCTTCCTAATTTAAAAGTGGAGGGACAGAGTCAGGTGTGGTGGTGCATACTTAAATCCCAGCGTGCAGGTGGTTGAGGCAGGATTGCAAATTCATAGCTAGCTTGGACTGTATAGCAAGACTGACTCAAAAAACTTCTTAAAATAAGTGAAAACAAGCTGATTATGTTAACCGAGCATCTAGGTGAATTGATCTGTTCACTTTTATTGAAGGGAACTTAGGTGGATGTTGGGGATGGGGAGGCTCCAAATCCCAGAGCCCTGTATACTCAGACTGGCTGGATTGCTCAGGAGAAGTCTTCCAATGTATGCTACCAGCCCTTTGGCATCTTAAGGTTTCAGACTGTGGCAGGAGTGCTAGTTTATCTGTTAAGCTAAGATTCCCTAACAGTACATTACTCTTTCTATAGTTCTGGTGGGGGTTTGAGAGGTGAAATTTCACCTGTGTCAGTCTGTCCTAACATGGAAGCCTTGCATTGGTGCTTGTACTAGTGTCAGGCAGGCTTGGCTTACTTATTCACCCACTGTTTGGTTTTTTTTTTATTGTTGTTGTTTTTGTTTTTTTGGGTTTTTTGTTGTTGTTATTGTTGGTTTTGGTTTTGGTTTTCCGAGACAGGGTCTCTCTGTATGGCTTTGGAGGCTGTCCTGCAACTAGCTCTTGTAGACCAGGCTGGTCTCGAATTCACAGAGATCCATCTGCCTCTGCCTCCCAAGTGCTGGGATTAAAGGCATGCACCACCACCACCCAGCCTGGTTGTTTTTATTATATTTATTTATTATTTATTTTGAGAAAATCTCACAATATAGTTCAGGCTGACCTTGAACTTGGAGTTGTTCTTTAACTCCCTGGCTCTGGGATTTCAGGCCTGACTGCCACGTGCAGCCCTTGTCAGGCTTTAGGTGTTCCAATTTCTAACATTTACAAATGAGAGGATTCCAAGTAACATTCCAGATTTTTATTTATTTATTATTTTTATTTTTGTATGTTCATGGTGTTGGGGAGTAAGCCCAGGGTCCTGCACATGCTAGGCAAGTGCTCTACCACTGAGCTGCATCTCGGTCCTTCTGTTCTTGAATTTGGAAACTATGGTGACTCTGCTGTCTTCCCCAGCAGCCTCACCCCTAGCCTAATGGTTCCGTAGCATTGACTTGATGCTTGGTAAAAAGAGAAAAGTCTTCAAATGTCTATTAGCACTGTTAGAGATTTGAAGTTTCTGGGTTTGAAGTCTGATTCATCAGCTGTTGGTTTCTCCCTAGCACTTGTGGCCTTGCAGAAGAACTGGAAAGAGAGAAGTCAAAGGAGCAGGGTACTCAGCCCAAGTCTGCCTGTGGAAATGTATGTACCTGCACCACACCATGTGTGCCCACTCCTGGTGACATCGGGACATAAGCTAGCTGAACCTAAGGGATTTGTCATTAGGTTTTCTCATAGTAGGCCAGCATGATGAGAAGAGGTTATCCTGAGGGGTGGGGGTGGGTGAGGTGTCAGCATTCTTGTGTCCGTGCTGAGGTGCCTATCGTTTCGTTTTGTTTTGTTTTAAATTTTGTTAGCCTTTTTGTCTCTTCCTTGTGTGGGATGTGGTTTACTTAGCCATTTGGCTGACCTTGCTGTGATCCTATAGTAGACACTGCCTGAGATACCAGCCCTCTTGTCTCCTTCTGACGGGGCTTGCTGTGTAGTTCAGTCAGGTTGTAAACTTGCCTCAGCCTCCCAAGCACAGCAGTTCCAAGTATGTATCGCCTCACCTGGCTGGAACTCTTACTGGCTGACTTCATAAAACAAGAAAGAACTGTGGTCTTTCTAAGATGTCCTTTCCTTTGGTTGTTGGCCTCTCTATGTGACTCCTGTTCTCTCCGCAGTGCTACCTGGGGGATGCTTTCCGCTGCGCCAACTGCCCCTACCTTGGGATGCCAGCCTTCAAGCCTGGAGAACAGGTGCTCCTGAGCAATAGCAATCTTCAGGATGCCTAGGAGGAACCTCAAGCACACACACCTGCTCCTCCAGCCAACTCCTTCCCTCAGCCCACCACTGCCTCCTCCCACCTCTGGATTGTAGCAGAGGGAAGCTGCTGTGGTGCAGTGGTGTGTGGTGCTGCTGTGTCTTGAAAGACCAAGGTGTGAAGGGGCCTTCCTCTTATAGTGTTAGGAGAAGGGGTTGTACATAAGGGTCCCCTTCTGATGTGACAGTGCTGACCTTTCCACCCTTGAGTCTAGACCTGGAATATTAATGCTGTACAAGCTCCAGGCTCTGCTCAGTGATGCTGCCACCTACTGGTCTTCCTCAGTGTGTAATTCTTGGAGCCGTGGTCAGCTGTGAAAGGGCCTCGGGCACCAAAGAAGTCACTCCCCAGTTGCTGTGATCCATCTTGTGTCCCTCTGCCCTTCCCACCTCATCCCATTTTGCTGTAGTGTTGTATCTGTGTCCTGTTGTCATTTCTGTTAAACAATAGATATTAAACTTTCATGTTTCTATGTATCCCTTGTCATGTGTGTATATGTGTGGCAGTCTGTCACAGTCATCCACATTCAACTTGGACTATGAAACTTGTTTTTGAAGAAGTCAGTGTCACTGATGTCACAGTGACTTCTTACAGATTAGGACCTGTCTCCATCTCCTGTAGGAGAGTCCAGGTTGAGAATGGGGGGAGGGGCAAGGAAGGCTGGGCCAGCAGCAGCAGTGTCAGTACAGGGGACTCTCATTCTCCCTGTTGCCTGTCCACCCGCCTATAATCAATCCATCGTGCCTGATCTTTTGTTTCAAATAAAAGTATCCACTGTTACCTGTCCTTGAAACCTGATTCTCCTGGCTTGCTTCCCGCTTGTCCCCGCTGCTGAAGTTAGGCTGTGGGTGTAGTGAAAAGCCATTGAGAAGCAGAATTCCCAGTGACCCTCACCTTGTGTCACCTCACCTCCAATTACAGCAAGACCTGAATGACATTGGGGTTTCTCTTCTGGGCCTGAGTGGAGAAGCTCCAATAAAGGGAAAGGATTTGCAGATGGACTCAGTTAATTACAAGGGAGATTATCCTGAGTGAGCCTGGCCCACTCTGTTGATCCTTTAAAAGAGCTAGAAAAAAACAAAGCATTTGTCTTGCTGCCCATGCAGAAGTTAGTTGTGAAGGTTTTGCTTGCTGTCAATTTTATTGGCATAAGTGTTTCAGATTCCCTGAAACTGGAGTTATGGACAGCTGTGAGCTGCCATGTGGGTGCTGGGAATTGAACTGGGGTCCTCTGAAAGAGCAGCCAGTGCTCTTAACTGCTAAACCATCTCTTCAGCCTCTAGCAGTGAAGTTTTGAGAAGTATACAATGTAGCATGAAAAATAAAAGACCCAGAGACTGATGTTGGGGTTCAAGCTTTAAGTTGAAGATCAGAAAAGCAAAGCAGCCAGTCACTAGCTCTTCCTCTACCTCAGAATGAAAGGTGATCCTGACTCCACCAAACCTCGGACTGTAACCTCTCCTCAGCGTGACTGGAAAATACTGAAAATTCAGTGTCTTCCTATACTCAATGTGGCTTGGGAATCCCTGATACTGAGTGCCCTGTATTGACTACTGAAGACCTTGTTCCTATCTTTTATATGTATCCCTCTAGTGCTGGGATTAAAGGCATGTGATTTCAGGTGCTGAGATCATCTTTGTGTGAGCTGTTTCTCTTTAGGACTGGATCACTCTTTCAATTATGTGTAGATCTGAGCGGCCTTGAACTTGCAGAAATACGTATACCTCTTGATCCTGAGTCCTAGGATTAAAGGTGTGTGCCACCACCTCCTAGCTTCCAGCTACTGGGATTAAAGGAGTGTATCATCACTGCCTGACCTCTATAGCTTGATGTTGACTGCTTTCTGTATCCTCCGGCAGGCTTTAATAAGTCATAAATAATATATCGCCACAATACAGCATGCCCCAATGCACAGCCACCAAGAAAGTGGGGCTACAGCCCCACAACTACAAGGAGCTGGGTTCTGCTAGCTCTGTCATCTTGGAAAAGGACTTACAGTTTCAAATGAGAACACAGCCTGTGCCTGAGGTAACAGCTGCAATCTGTGGATAGAGTACCTGCCTATGCACAAGGCCTTGTTTTTGATTTCCCGTACCAAAACCAAAAAAGGTTTTCTCAAGCCAGAGCAAATAACTGAGAAGCCAAGATAATAAATGGGTGTGTAGCTGACTGCTTTGTCACAGCAACAAAAACTAACAGTTCCCAGATGTGTTTAGGTTTAACTCTGACCAACTGGCCCAGCCACAGACCTATTAACACTTTCTGCAGTTGCCAAGGTGAGAGACAAACATTTTGGCCTCTGGGTTGAGGAGCAGCTCCTGGGCCAGAGCTTCCTGTGGGTTTAGTAAATGCCACAAGTCCCCCAGACCTGCCTGCTGATTTCCAGCTATGGCTGGCACAAAGGATGATAGTGCAGTTGACATGATTAATGGGGTCCTGGTGGCAGTCGCTCTATTTTTCCAGAGGCAAGGCAGTCGGCTCAGTCAGGGTCCTGGGATGGTGGAGAGAGCCCTTGCCCAAAGCATAGCTGTACATTGAGGAAGGATGGTCCTATTTCTCTGAGCAGAGGAAGTTTTAGCTGTAAGCTTACAGTATGGAACCCAGGAACAGTGTCAGCTATTACTCAATTCAGCCCAAGTTTACATGAATACAGGTGTGGGCCTGGGAGCCTTTGTAATGATTTCTTTGTGTTTATGTGTGTGAGGGCATGCATGTCATGGGGCACACGTGGGGGTCACAGGGGCTGGTTCTCCTTCCACCATGTGGGTCCCCGGGATCAAACTCAGGTCATCAGACTTGACAGTCATTACCTTTACCCACTGAGCCATCTCACTGGCCTTTTTTTTTTTTTTTAGACTAGGTTGCATGTAGGCCAAGCTGTCCTCCATCTTTCTCCCCTCCTCTTTTCCCCCTGTGTGAAACAAGATTTGACTGCCCTAGCCTGAATCTCACTGTGTAGCCCAAACTAGCCTAGAACTCAGTGATCCTCAGCCTCCCAAATATTGGTATTATAAGAATGTGCCATCATGCCAAACTTGGCTTTAATTTTTTAATTTTATTTTATGTATGGCTGTGCACCATGTTAGTGTAGTACTCATTGACACCAGACTTAACTCTCTACAGTCTTTGCCTTGGAATCTGGTAGTGTGGCATCAAGTCTCCCCTTGTTCTGAAATCACTTACTTGGTATAGGCAGCAAAGACAAGCCACATCTTCCCTGGGCTTTGGAGACAGCTGGGACTTAGGGAGCTAAAGGGGGCTTGGAGCTGAAGTGTGAGGGGGAGTAAGTGAGGCAGGCTGCAAAGGTAAAGGAACTCGAGCACTGCAGATGCTAAGGGTGGGGGTGTGGCTAGATGGAACGCAGCAGGATTCGTTTAGACAGTTCAACACCAGCAGCTCCCCAAAATAAAAAGCAACCTCCTGTGCCTGAGTTTTATTTACAAAGACCAGTTAAATCAGAGTCTTCTAGAGTGGGCCTGGGGCAGCCATGCTTTGCCAAGCTTTCCCCCATGATTCTAAAGTGTATTCTGTGCTAGAGAAAATTTTTCGCACAGCAGAAAACAAGCTAAAAAATACCCCAGTCGGGCATTGCAGTGCATACCTGCAATCCCAGCACTCCGGAGGCTGAGGCACAAAAATTGGAAGTTTGAAGCTAGCCTAGGCAAAAGTTCTAGATCAGGCTAGGCTACATGATAAGACTATGTCAAAAAAGGAGCCCTGTGCCAGTGGTGGCGCATGCCTTTAATCCCAGCACTTGGGAGGCAGAGACAGGTGGATCTCTGTGAGTTCAAGGCCATCCTGGTCTACAAACTGAGTTCCAAGATAGCCAGGGATACACAGAGAAACCCTGTCTCGAAAAAACAACCAGCCAACCAACCAGCCCAAACAAACAAAATCCAAAATCCCAAGCAGCTGTATTTGAAAAGCAAGAACCTCGGATGGATTCAGGTAACCATTAAGAGAATGAAGGAGCAAGGTATGGGCCACAGCAGTAGGGGTAAGCTATAGCTGTGGAAGAACAACAGAACAGGGGAGAGAGAAAGAGGGAATGGAGTGAGAGGAAAATTTAAAATATCTAAAGGATATACACATGTGACAAAGAAGTTCTAGAAAACTGATGAGCACACTCAGGACCAGGGCACATTCTGGAGTGGAGATGAGATGGGAAGCAGGCTTCCAGGCAGCAGGAAAATTTGGTTGGAGGGAGACTGGGTCTCTTTTTTGTTTGTTTGTTTTGTTTTTGAGACAGGGTTTTCTTTGAAGGTTTGGAGAGAGACTGGGTCTCATACAGTAGCCTAGGATGGCCTAGAACTCGCCTTATAGCCCAGGCTAACCTAAAAGGTAGTGCTTCTGTCTCAGCCTCCTGAGTATTAGGCACGAGGCACCCCGTCCACCAGCAAGGTTGTTTACTTTTGCAGTGGTGGGATTCAACCAAAGTTCTCTCACACATGCTCAGCATGCTTAATCACTGAGCTACTTCTCCAGCCCACAGATGCTTCTCTCTCTGGAGCTGGGTGGGAGGGATGAGGAATTTTATTATGATTTATGTACCTTACACATGCAAGTGTTTTGGGGATACTTCACTTATAAAACTAAGGAAATGTAAATGCTGGGCCTTAAGAAAAGATCCACTAGGCCTGGACAAAGTCCTGAACCTCCTGTCACAGACCTTCAGGGACTATTCCATATATGGAATAACACAGCAGATACATAGAGTCCACATAGCCTGTAAACCCTAGCATTCAGGAAGCAAAAGCAGGAGGCAGAGGGGTCAAGGCCTGTCTGGACTACATAGCAAGATTCTATCTGAAAGATGAAAGTTTAAGAAATAAAGGTAGCACGTAATAGCAATCATATGAAGAATGTCACCACAGAGCAGATGAATACTGACAAAAACCTTGCATTTTTTCACTTGTTTGTGTGTGAGTGCATGTGAGAGGAGGTGTTGGATCCCCTGGAACTGGAGTTATGGATGATCATTAGTGGCCTTGTGAGTGCTGGGAATTGAAACTAGGTCTGTGGAAGAGCTGCTAGTGCTCTTAACCACTGAGCCATCTCTCCAACCTAAAATTTTAAAACTAAAGGGGCTTAGGAAATCAATAAGAGCTATGCAGAAATAGGCAATAAAAGCCCAAAATGAAATGGAAAGAAAAAACCCATAAAATATCAAAATAGTTACTTAGAGATGCAATTCAAGAATTATCCAGATATTAAGAGTTGATCTATAGGTCTGGAGAGATAGCTCAGAAGCTAAGAACTTACTGCTTTCCCAGAGGACTGAGTTCAGTTCCCAGCACCCACGTCAGATGGCTCACAACTGCCTGTAAATCCAGCTCAGGGGACCTGACACCTTCTGGCCTCTTGGGCCCAAACAAACTGACACACACACATACAAAAAAAAAATCTTCAAAGAAAACTGTCATCTATGAAGAGAGAGAGAGAGAGAGAGAGAGAGAGAGAGAGAGAGAGAGCAGTC